CAACTACCAAACATTGGTGAGAGAAATTAACAAAGTCCTAAATAAATGGAGAGAAATACCATGCTAATGAATTGGAAGACTCAATATTAAGATGTCTTTTCTTGGGAGGAGGGGAAAGAAGACACAACAATCACAACAATTCCTTGAACTTGTTAAGACAAGTGAACAGATATGATGGGGGGGAGAGGGAGGAGGAAAAGAAGAATTGGTAAAGGAACACAAAAATCAACTACATTGCATATTGATAAAATAAAATTTTTAAAAAGATGTCTTTTCTCCCCAAATTGTTCTATAGAGTTAACTTAATGCCAATCAAAATCACAGCAAACTTTTTTTTCAGATTTTATTTTAACATTTAATTGTATATATTTGTGGGATACAGTGTGTTGTTTCAATACATGCATATACTGTACATTGATCCGCTTAGGGTAGATACCATAGCTTTGTACCCATTAATCCACCACTTCCCATCCCCTTGCCCTTCCCCTCCCCATTATTCTACTCTCTACTTCTATAAGACTTTACATATGAATGAGTTGGTGTGGTTTTGTCTTTCTGCGTCTGGCTTACTTCATTTAACATGATGGTCTCCAGTTCCATCCCTGTTGCTGCAAGTGACAGGACTTCATTTTTATTTTATAGCTGAATAATATTCTATTGTGTGTATATACCACAGTTTTGGGATCCGTTTATCCATTGATAGGCATTTAGGTTGATTCCATCTCTTGGCTATTGTGAATAGTGTCCAGCAAACATATTTTGTAGAAGTTGATAGCTGATTCTAAAATTTATATAGAAATGGAAAGGACCTAGAATAGCCAATAGGTAGTGTAAGTGGAGGACTTATACTACCTGATTTCATGACTTACTTGCATCTTGTAATAGCAATTAAACAATTAAGACAGTATAGTATTGGCATAAGGATGAACAGATAAACAAAACAAAATGAAGTCCAGAAGCAGATGCATACATATTTGGTCAATTGATTTTCAGTAAAGTACCAAGGCAATTCAGTGGGGGAAAAGATAACATTTGCAGCAAATGGTCCTGGAACAATTAGATATCCACATATTTTTACAAACAAATCTTGACCCCCTACCTCACACCACATACAAAAATTAAAAAATTAAAAATGGGCCAGAGATCTAAATGTAAGAGGTAAAATGAGGTAAAACCATAAAGCTTCTAGAAGGCAGGCTGGCTGGTTAGCTCAGCCGATTGGAGTGCAGCCTTATAACACCAAGGTCACGGGTTTAAATTCCTGTACTGGCCAGTGGCAAAAGGAAAAAAAAAAAAAGCTTCTAGAAGAAGACATAAAAGAAAACCTTTGTGACCTTGAATTAGGCAAAGATTTTTTTGTAGGACACAAAAACATGAACCATAAAAAGATAATGTTGATAACTGAACTTCATCAAAATTAAAAACATTTGCTCATCGAAAGACATTGTCAAGTAATAAAAGACAAGGGACTGGGCTGGTTAGCTCAGTTGTTTAGAGCGCAGCCTTGTAACACCAAGGTCAAGAGTTTGGTTCCCCTTAGTCCAGCTGCTTTAAAAAAAAAAAGTAATAAAAGACAAGCCATAGACAGAAAAGTCTTGCAAAATACCTATCTGACAAAGAAGTTGTAACCAGAATATATAAAAATTCTCAAAACTCAACAATAAAAAAAAACTCAATAAAAACAAACAAACAAAAACAGGCCAAAGATTTAAACAAACACTTCACCAAAGAAGATAAACGAATAGCAAATTAGCACATAAAAAGACACTTAAAAGATGCTTAGCATCATTAGTGCTGAGGGAATTGAAAATTAAGCTACTATGAGACACCATTACACACCTACGAACACATACACTGCTGGTGGGAATGCAAAACGGTACAGCCGCTCTGGAAAACAGTTTAACCTTTTTTTTTTCCTTTTACAAAAAGTAAACATGTACTTGCCACATGGTTTAGCAATCCCCATTCCTAGATATTTACCCAAGAGAAATGAAAACATATGCCCACACAAAAGCCTGTACATGAATGTTCTAGCAGCTTTATTTAATAATAGCCAAGAACTGGTGAGTGGATAACAAACTGTGGCACACGCATGTCACAGAACTCATTCTGCAATAAAAAGAAGTAAACTACTCAAAACATCTCAGAAGCTTTATGCTGAATGAAATAAACCAGTCTTAAAAGGCTATAATCTGTAAAATTCCATTTATATACTGTAGTGGATTGAATGTCCCCCCCAAACTCATTGAAGCTTGAATTGTGTTCCTCAAGTGCAGCCGCGCCCCCAGCCCCCAGCCCGCAGGGGTGAGGTCGCCCTTGGCCCCAGCGCCTGGACCCTCCGCGGGAGCGGCGCGGCGCCCCCTGCTGGGAACCTGTCACAGCGAGCGGGGACACCTGGGTTCCCGGCAGCTGCCGCCAGGTGGTGCCGGCCTTCAGAGCCCGCACAGCTCGGGAATGGCTGGCGGCGGGCACCTTGCCTGCCTCGGGGAGGTGACCGGGGTCTTCCGCGCTGCCAGCGACGAGGACGCCGTGACAGAGCCCACTGTGCAGAGCCCCAGCCGGCCCACAGGCGTGAGGAGCTCTGCAGAGGAGCCCCCCGCCCCCGACCTCCTCAGGGCAGCCTGCTCGGCCTTCGCGACCCCCCTGCAGCGGTCACATGGCGGGCGGGGCACTGCAGAGGCCCTGTCCGGCCCTGCTCATATGGGGGCCAGTGCTTTGGGCGTATGAGCGGGTTTGGACGTGGGTGCCTCGGGCAGAGTCCGTTATGCAGGCTCAGGATCAGCATGGGGACACTACATTGACTTGACATGGAATTGACCACCCATGCCAGGTTGAGGAGGGAGTGGAAGGTGAGGAGTTTGGTGGGGAAGGGAAGAATCGTCCAGTGAACATCCGCACCATCTTGAGCTGGGTAGGCGAGGTGGAGGGCAGTGATGGCAGCAGACTTGTGGGGGATGATACCTGGAGCAAGAACACGGGGCAGGAGGCATCTTTACAAGTTCCTGGGCTGTGCAAGCCGCCCCTCTACCCCTACCCCGTCTCAGCACCTCCCTACTGCTTCTCTCCTGTGCCTTTCCATTCCCTCCCCACCTGGGGGTGGGGCACTTCCTCTGTTACTTCCATTTTGCCTGTCCTTTGAAATCCAACTGAAGTGCCACCTCCTCCAGGCAGCCTCTGCACCCCAGCGTGTGCTGATTACCCTCTCCTCTGAATTCTGCAAGCATTTCCCATGTGAACCTGCCATCTGGCCCCCACATGGTGGGCCTGCCTTGTTAGATTTTCATCCCGTTCCTCTATAAGGGCATTGTACCTCCAAAACCTGCCACAGTGATGTGACTTAGTAGGAGGCATCCAGTTTCAAGGAATACAAGCTATTCCAGCCAATTTAAGGAAACTGAAGGAAAGAGTGTCCTAGGAGGGTGTGGGGACCCTCATGAACCCAAAGCCAGGATGTGCCACATTAGGAGGCAGGAGCCACCCCTGTTGTCCCCTGGGACACTCCAGGTCCCTATGGCCTCGTGTCTCAGCCTCTTTCTGCATGTCTGCTTTTTCCCTCTTATCAGCTTCCTCTGGTTTAGGCCCAAACATGGCTGCCCCGGGTCCAGCTTCAAACTCTCCTGCGTCCAGTGCCCGCAGCAGACTGAGGACATGAGGCCCTGCTCCTAGGGGCTGGGGGAGGGAATCTGATCGATGCCCTGGATCAGGCAACTTCCCTGTGCAGTCATTAGAGGCCAGTGGGCTGGGGCGGGGGGGGGGGGTTCATGTGACCTGTTCAGCAGTGCAGACTTTAAGAAGGGACGTGGTCAAGCCCTCCAAAGAGGGGTCAGAGCAGGGAAATGGGAACATCTCTGGTACAGCCCGGCCCAGGGAAGGAAGATGCTTAATACAGGCTGATAGACCGCAGGCACAGGCAAAGGCATCCTTTCAGACCCTTTAGTTCTGCTGTTCTCCTTTCAGGCACCCCAGCCTGAACTCACTGCAGCCTTGGGGGGGGGGGGGGGGGTGTTCATGTGTCCTGTTCAGCAGTGCAGACTTTAAGAAGGGACGTGGTCAAGCCCTCCAAAGAGGGGTCAGAGCAGGGAAATGGGAACATCTCTGGTACAGCCCGGCCCAGGGAAGGAAGATGCTTAATACAGGCTGATAGACCGCAGGCACAGGCAAAGGCATCCTTTCAGACCCTTTAGTTCTGCTGTTCTCCTTTCAGGCACCCCAGCCTGAACTCACTGCAGCCTTTCTGGAATCCTGTTTATTTTTCTTACTTGTTCACAAAAGTGGCCAAGGGGGGCCAGGAAGACGTGAGTCCAGCCGAGTGCCTGGCACCTGTGTGGTGAGAACCCCAAGAGGTACATCTTTTCATGTTTTTACATCAGAAATTTGGATGGCATGTCATTGTGTGATTGAAGTGTCTTTTTCCTTTCATAGTGGCACATAGAGTAAGTACATCTTATACTGAATGCCATCCTAGATTTGATGAAATATGGAATCATTACCCGTTATGCTGATCATGGGCAAACTACAGTATCTCTGATTAAAAATATCTGCATCTGCAAAACAGGGATAACGTCCTCCCTCAGCCGGCTACCATAAGGCTAAAATGAGACCACATCTGTTGACAGTTTTGAGACTGCCCAGCCCTTACCTCTCTCCCTACTGGAGGGCATCCTTGGTGGACAAAGGTGGGCTTCAGGGCTAACTGAGTCATCCTGACCCAGGATCAAGAGTGTCAGTGCCAGGCCGGCCTGTGGCTCACTCGGTGAGTGCAGTGCTGCTAACACCAAGGCCACGGGTTCGGATCCCATATAGGGATGGCCGGTTCGCTCAATGGCTGAGCGTGGTGCTGACAACACCAAGTCAAGGGTTAAGATCCACTTACCGGTCATCTTTTTAAAAAAAAAAAGAGTGTCAGTGCCTCTTGTTTTTTTATCTGTGGGGAGGGCAGTCTCAGCACCCAGGGCCAAGCAAATATTTGGGTTATGGATTAACCCAAGTTCCAGGCTGTCATGGCGGCAGGAGGGCAAACTTACAGTCTCTCCACAGCCCACCCCTGTAAGTCCTTCTCCAGGCAGGTCTGTGCGGGGGTGCTGAGGGTGGGGTGCAGAAGGGAGAGTGCAGAAGGGAGGGAGGAGTGGTGATGAGGGTTGAATCCTTGAACCAGGGTTCTTGAAACCAGCTGGAGCTTGGGGTAAAGAGAAACGAGGCCCTGCTATAGGCCAGTCCAAGGAGCTGGTGGGCATTCCTCAGACCTGGAGCCACAGGCCCAGGGGTCCCTCTCACCACACTCTTTCTAGACTGCGGGTCAAGTGGAAGGTCAGCTGAGGATCTCCAGGGCTCACAGCCTTTCCCAGAGGCAGCTTGGAGCCCAGGACCCTCCATTCTCCCCACCTCTAAACTTGGGGCATCTGATTTAAACAAATGTCAGCCTCGGGGGGGTCAGCAAAGGTGGAGAGTGAAGCCAGGCAGGGGTGTGCAGATGGGCGGCAGGCCTTCCCACGTGGTCTGGGGGACAGTGGAGGGCTCCTTGGTTTCTGGCCGGCAGGGCTACTGCTGTGGCCTGTGGGGCACCCAGTGGTTTGGGGCAGGGGTTAAGTTTCCGTACTGGGAGCCACACAGGCCTGGGCTTGCATACTAGCTCTGCTACCTCCTGTTTTGGATTTTTAATAAACTACTTAACTCCCCCAAGCCTCAGTTCCCCCCTCTATAGGATGGGACTGACAACATTAGTACCTACTTCTTAGGTGGTTGTCAAAATCAGTAAAGTTAATCTTTACTGAGCATTTGCTATGTGCAAATCCTGTTTTACGAGCTTTATGTAGATTAACTCATTTAATTCTCACAACTCTTTAAGGCAGAAAGTTATTCTATCCATTTTACAAATGAGGAAACTGAGGCATGGAGCAGTTAAGCATCTCCCCCAACACTGCCATCCAGTAAGTGCTGGAGCTGGGATTTGCTCCGGATGGTCCATCTTCCTGGCCTGCTCTCTGCATCGTGGTCACATTGCTTGAAAGGCACCATAAGTGTGCAATCAATGCTAGCTGTTATTCTTAGCCCAGATATCAGACCAGCAAAGGCACAGGCACCCCCCTTCCCCCACCCCAACCATCACCGAAGAGTGAAGTAAGGGAGGGCACAAACTTTCCAGCACACTCCACAGCATTTCTGAGCCGAGTCCCCTTTGATCATCACAAGGACCCTGTGCCCTCTCCACTTTCTCGAGCAGGTGGTACAATCTTAGCCTATAAAGAGAAGGAGACAGGTGGCTGTGTGTCTAGTGAACAAGGACCCCAGCCCCAGCTTCTGTCCTGACAATCAGCACACAGGGACGGCCTTTTCATTAAGCTTCCACCTGGGGTCAGCAGGCTGAGCAGGGGCAAGGGGGGCGGCCAGGAGCTCAGAAGTCCTCCTCAGACAGGTGTCAGCAACTTCAGAATGTGGCAGCTCGCAAGCCTCTTGCTGTTCACGGCCACCTGGGGAATTTCCAGCACTCCAGCTCCTCCTGGTAAGGCCATCCCCACTCCCACCCAGGACCCTTGAGGCCTCCACAGGGAACAAAACACAGGGGCTGCAACGGCAGACGTAGGTGATGACAGGGAGCCCTGTGTGCTTACGTCCTAAAGCTCCTTCCTCGACTCCGGGAGGTTGTTCATGGAGTCCTCTGGGCTTTCCCACTCCACCTACTCGCTTCCTCAACTGTGAAGGCCCCAGGCCCAGGGCCACCACCCACACTGTCCCTGTATCTTCTCCCCGTAAGATGCACATCTGCCGCATCAGTGCCCTTTCCCAGCCCCACCTCCACCTGCAGTCCACTGAGTTCATCCATCCACTCTCAGCTCAGGATCCTCCAGGATGCCTTTCTTCAAACCCCTCTTGCTCACTCCCCCAACCTGATCCCTGCATCCCAGCTGTCTGCCTGTACCGAAGACAGACAACTCTCAGAGCCCAGGAGACACTTGGTGACACTCACTGGGTGACAAGTCTGTCTGTCCTCCAGGGGAGGAGCTTGATGGGGGAGGGGAGGGATGGTCAAGTGACGGGTCAGGATGGGGTTGCACAAGGCATATTGGAACAACAGTGAGATGATTTAACTTTGCAGTCTTAACAAAAGCAGCAGTAGCATCTGGCATTTGTCACTGTGCTTATTTCTGTGCAAGGTATTGTATTAAGTGTTTTACACAATTATCTCATCCCCATTATTTGGATGAGTAAACTGAGGTTTAGAGACGTAAAGATGCTAGCTCAAGGTCCCAGAGGTGGGGCTGGGGATGAAAGGGAGGTATGTCTGTCTCAGAGCACATGCTCTGAATGGTCAAGGCTCCTGTCCTCCACCGGTCACCTGCTTCATGTGGAGGAGAGCAGAGGAGCAGGCAGAGCACCGCCATGTGGAATTAGTAAGTCTGGAGGGGCGCGAGGCAAGACCTTCCCGGGCTCTCCCCAGCTCGGCTTCCTTAGACCCCTCATGGCCCCCAGCCCCACTCAGTCCCCTCCACCAAAGTGAGTTCCTTCTTCCCCCAAAACCAGACTCGGTGTTCTCCAGCAGCGAGCGCGCGCACCAGGTGCTGCGGCTCCGCAAACGCGCCAACAGCTTCCTGGAGGAGCTCCGGCCAGGCAACCTGGAGCGGGAGTGCAGAGAGGAGAGGTGTGAATTCGAGGAGGCCCAGGAGATTTTCCAAAATGTGGACGAGACAGTAAGGCGTCTGGGGGGGTCCAGAGGATGAGGCTCAGGGGTGGGCGGTGACCAGCTGGCGCCTGGAAGAGCAGTGGGGACCCACCACTGAGGCCCTCTTGGGAGGCCAGGGTGGCGGCACCAGCTCCTCCTCCCTGCTTGTCAGGGGTGGCTGAGTAGAAGGAATGGAACGCTGTGGTGTTGGTCAGGCCAACATGACTGCAAGAAACAGAAACTCTGCACTGAACTCCGGGGAAAAGAAAGTGCGGGCAGCCCTGGGCTAGGGTCCCACCCAACCCCACCATAGGTTCCGACCACGCTCCAGCCTCCGCTGTCTCTCACAGAGATGTGACCGAAAGGCCACTGCCCCTGCTTCCGCCCATGCACCTGTTGACCAGGGAATGTGTGACCAAGACTCCCTGAGTCTGTCCACGTGTATTTGCTCCCTCGGTGCCTCTGTTCACATTCTCAAGGGAGAAAATCTGATTGCTCAGGGGATCCGAAGAAAGGGTCTGGGTCCTCTCTGGCCTGAGGAACAGAGTCCTCCAGAGCACCCAGGGCCCAGTGGACGTGGCCCTGAGGGTGGCAGGATGGGCTTGGGGCCACCTTCCGAGCTGTCTGTAGGAATGCCTTTACCCATGGAGGCTTTCAAGGCAAATGGGGGAGCTCTGGTCTGCCCCCTCTCCTGCCCTCGGCTTCCACTTTCCGACTAGATCCCCACCTGCTCTCCATCCCCACTGCCTCTTTTCCCAAATGGCCTCCTCAGCAGATGCCACAATGAGTTTCTGCAGCACAAACCTGAGCACATCACCTCCCTGCCATGGCTCCCCTCCTCACCCAAGCTCTCTCAACCCCGGCCCGGCAGAGCCACTGCTGCTGGTCCTGCTTGATGGTGCAGGCATGGAGCTGTGCCATCTGGCAGTGGACCTAGTGTGTGGTGGTCCCAAACCACCAGCAGCAGCAGCACCTGGGACCTGGTTAGGAACACAGACTCCGTGGCCCCCGACTATCTGATCGAGCAAGCTGCGTCTCACCCACTCTGAGAGCACTGGCTAGGGAAAGACTGGATGCGTGAGAGGCCCTCAAAAGCCCAGGGACAGACGAGGTGATGGGCGCTGGAAGGAGGCAGAGCTGTCTGGTGGGGGATGTGGTCCCCTTCCATTGCAGAGGCTGCTTCAGGAGCAGGGTTCCGGCTGCATGGGGAGGGGTGGAATTCATGGCATGTGGGGTGGGACAGTGGAGGTGGGGGGCAAGCAGCACTAGCTCCTAGTGGCTAGCGACCAGCAGGATTGACCTGTTAGTCCGGAAGCCCTCCCCTCACCTGCCCGCTCACTGGTGCCCTGCCCCACCTGGGCCACACCCGGTGGGCTCCCCCAACACACGCGGGCCGACGGCCTCTGACGCTGCCCTCTCTCCACAGCTGACCTTCTGGGCCAAGTACTTCGGTGAGTGCGTTCCAGACCCCTGGCTGGGCCGCCCGTGCTGCTCCCTTGGGGTCGCTGGGTTGGGGGGGGGGTGAG